TCTGTGGAAAGAGATGATGGAAAAGCTCTATATCAGCAATCAAAACAAGGCCAGGGGTAGATTGCATAACAGACCATCAATTGTTCACATGCAAATTCAGGCTGAAGTGGAAGAAAATGTAAACAAGTCCACAAGAGCTAAAATGACCTTGAATATATCCCACCTGAATTTACAGATCTCTGAAGAACAAATTTGGTACATTAGACACTGAAAACCACAAGAGTTGTGGGATGACATCAAAAACATCATACGGGAAGAAAGCAAAAAGTCATTAAGAAGACAAGAAAGAAGGAAGAGGCCAAAATGGATGTCAGAAGAAACTCTGAAACTTACTCTCCAGCATAGATATGCTGAAGCAAATGAAAGAAGTGAGGAGAGATAAAAGAGCTGAACAGAAAATTTCAAAGGTCAGCTCGAGAAGACAAAGTCAAATATTATAACGAAATATGTGCAAAGACCTGGAGTTAGGAAACCAAAAGGGAAGAACATGTTCAATATTTCTCAAGCTGAGGAAACTGAAGAAAAAATTCAAGCCTTGACTTGCATTATTGAAGGATTCTCTGGGCAAGTTATTGAATAATGCAGAAAGCATCAAAAGGAGATGAAAAGAACATAGAGAGTCACTGTACCAAAAGAATATGGTCGATGTTCAGCCATGTCAAGAGGTAGCATGTGATCAAGAGCCAATGATCCTGAAAGAAGTCCAGGGTGCATTAAAGGAATTGGCAAAGAACAAGGCACCAGGAATTGATGGAATACAAATTAAAGATCAACAAAGTGAGGTGGCACTAGAGGCATTCATTTATTTATGCCAAGAGATTTGAAAGAGAACTACCGGGCCAACTGATTGGAAGAGATTAGTATTTGAGCCCATTCCAAACAGAGGTGACCCAAGGGAATGCGGAAACCACTGGACAATATCATTGATATCCTGTGCAAGTAACGTTTTACTAAACATAATACAGAAATGGCTGCAACCATACATTGACAGAGAACTTCTAGAGGTTTCAGACAAGGATGTGGAATGAGGGATATCATTGCTGATGTCCGATGGAGCTTGGGTGAAATCAGAGAATACCAGAAAGATGTTTACCTGTGCTTTATTGACTATGCAAAGGCTTTGGATTACGTGGATCATGACAAGCTGTGGGCAGCATTGTCAAGAATGAGTATTCTGGAACACTTAATCGTGCTCATGAGGAATTGTGCTACATAGACCAAGAGGCATTTGTTTGAATATAACAAGGGAACACCGAATGTTTAAAATTAGGAAAGGTGTGCAACAGTGTTGTATTCTTTCACCATACCTACTAAACCTGTATGTTGTTATTGTTGTCAAGTGCCGTTGAGTCGATTCTGACCCATAGCGACCCTGTATAGAGTTTCCAAGGGGCAGCTGGTGAGCTTGAACCGCCGACCTTGCAGTTCAAACGGCTTTGCAGTCTGGCGCATTAATCGACAGTGCCACACTAGGATTCCTTGTATACTGAGAAAATAATCCAAGAAGCCATTATATGAAGAAATATGTAGCATCAGGATTGGTGGAAGACTCATTAACAACCTGCAATATGCAAATGATACAACCTTGCTTGCTGAAAGTGAGGAGGACTTAAATTCTGATGAAGATCAAAATGTACAGCCTTTGGTATGGATTGCATCTCAATATAAAGAAAACAAAAATCCTCACCACTGAACCAATAAACAACACTGTTATCAATGGAGAAAAGATTGACGTCGTCAAGGACTTCATTCTTCTTGGATCAATTATCAACACTTATGGAAGCAGCAGTCAAGAAATCAGGCAAACCTGCTGCACAAAACCTTTTTAAAGTGTTGAAGAGCAAAGATGTCAGGAGGGACTATAGTGTGTCGGACTCAAGCCATGGTATTTTCAGTAACATCATTTTCACGTGTGTGCCATGCGCTGCCAAAATAACAAACAGATCTGTGTTGATGAAGTACAGCCAGGATGCTCCTAGGAGGCCAGGATGGCCAGACTTTGTCTTTCATACTTTGGACATATTGTCAGGAAGGGCCAGTCACTGTAGAAACATATCATGTTTGGTAAGGTGGAGGCTCAGACAAAAAGAGGAAGACCCCCAGC